GCAGGAAGAAATGCATTCTTGGCGATACATGCATGTTGCCTTCTCAAACTGTGAAATTTTTTGACCCTCAAAAATAGCACAGGAGCTGTAAATCCACTGGAGCAAAATAGCAGATTTAAAAATAACACTCAGCTTTGTTAATACTTACAATGTTTTGTTTAAGATGAATGACTTTTACTTGTCACTTATATACACTCTTTTATGATAATTAAAACATCTTTCAGTATTTTCTTATATGGTTAAAGCTTTCTTTTGTTTAAACAAAACTTCAGATTCTGTGCCTTATACCTACACCTTCACATAAAGGTTATAAAGAAATGTTTTTTTTCTTAGCTGTCTTAACTTTATATTGAGAAAAACTAAACCTGAGTTCATAATATATTAATAATTATACTTTGTACAGGTCATTGGATACTTAGTCATAAAAGTACTCTGCAAAAATGAAGATCAAAAAAATGGATGCCAGAAAGAAGTCAACAAGGCTATTAATATATGAAACTTGCAACATAAGATACTGAATAACAGCAGTCATCTCTAGAGAAAAGTTCTCCATAGAACACAGTTGAACATTCAAATTTCCAAGGATGAAAAGGTTAACAGTAAAAAGCCATTTAGGCTTAATAATAACAGAAGACAGCCATTTAATCAAAGAAATAATGTAATCTTCCAGGAACATAATAAAATAAAAAATTTCGAATCCATCTGTTAAACATCTTAACAGAGGCACATTTAGATTCTCATCATCACATTAGAATATATACCAGTCATTAACAGTACAGAAGGCTATTACTGCATGCACCTAAGCTTCTAGAAGTTTGCACCTGAAAAGCTTCTGAGGTCCACACAGTACCGCAGTCTCAAAAATAATCAGAAGGAAATGAATGGGTCTGGCACTAGGCTCTAAACATCAGCAGGAAGGAGGGAATATTAAGGTTTACATTTCAAACATCTATGATAGCTAACATATATTGACACACCAAGGGGGTGGAAAGGTGACACAATACAAAGATTTCATACCCATGTAATGACTCATAGGTATATCTAAGTGTTTCTGTCAACTGAAGGACTAACATACAATTCTACATATACTGTCCAGTTTAAAACATGCAGCTAAGGAACAACCTACAATTCAAAGACAGAATCCAATGATATATCAAAACTGCATTGGTATAACTACGAATTTTATTATGTGGACATCTACTGTGGCATGCATCTGTACAAACCTTTCAGGCAGTGGTCCACAGCTGGGTTATGAATAAAAAGGCATAAATTTTTCTCTCATTTTATTACAATGAAGTTTAACAGTACAGAAAAGTCACATGACCTTGGTGGGTCAGATTTCTTAAACCCTGAAACATGAGGAACTCTAAATACATTAAATATTGTTACACATTCAGACTTCCAATGTACAGGTACTTGAAGACAGTTACAGCCCTCACCAAGCTAGGTTGGGGACATGAAGTCCAACAGCATCTGAAATGCTGTGAAGGCATAACTTTACAAATAGCAACATAAGCTTACAGAACTTGCCTTTATTAGGGTGGTATGTTCATGTAATTCCAGCGCCTTCACAATATAACGAACCAAATTTACTATACTTCACTTCTAAAAACCTAGATGAAACATGAAAAAGAAGCCATACAGTATAAATTGCAACTTCAGGAAAAGTTCCTGCTTTATTATTCCAAATAAATTTTCCCATGTAAAATAAATGTCCAATAGTTCCTGGTATGTGGGAAGATAATGTTTGTTAAAGTCACAATGAAGCCTTATTGACGGAAGCTTGGCTATATAAACAGCACAAGTTGAGAAAAGGTTTAATCTCCAAACCTATTAGACTGGATGAAGTAAGATCAGTAACGGCCACCTTGCGACATTACAGGAGGTCTCATTCCCATCGGAGGTCGAGGAGGCCCACCTTGGTAAGGGGGCACCATTGGCGGTCCCTGCCCATACGGCGGCATAGCACCAGGAAGATAACCTGGCATGCCTTGATGATGACCACCATACTGACCTACAAAACACATTTAAAACACAAAAAAATAGATTGAGTCTGTGCCTTGTACTTTTAAATGCAATGCATTTTGCAGATAAATGTGTTTCACGTGTACACTCAGAAAATCCACTAAATAAAATAAATGTAAAAAGAGGAATACCATGAGGCGGCATTGGGGGTCTCATTCCTTGTTGCTGTGGGATGCCTGGCTGTGGTGGCATCATACCTCCAATTGGTCCAACAGGTGGATTACCAATGGGAGCCTGTCCTGGTCGAGGAAGATTACGTTGATATTTAGGTAACTGTGCTCTTCTCTCTTCCTAGGAATAAAAATACGTGAATTGTGAAACATCTGAACACAGGGAGTTAAGCATGAAGGTAAGCATCTAAAGTCTTTATATTTACAGAGTGAGAGTAATTTTTAAATGTTCCCTTACATCCCAATTACCTTCACCCCACAAACCAGTCCAACTTAAAATCTTGATGCCTTAAGAAAACTTTACCTATTTTTATATTTGAAGCACGTTATATTGAACAACTTTCCAGAAATTATAAATTGCTTCAGCAAGAAACTAATGAAGAAGGTATATGGACTGCAAGGGACCTGCAGACTCTATCTCACACTTGTTTCTTCGATTAATTAAATTTATGAACAACAAAAATAATTTTTGAGAGAGTTAAGAACCCAACTTACTATCCTCTTTTAGAAATAGTCTTGGGGGGGGAATGTATCTAAGATCAAAACATGCAATATTCACTTTGTTTTGTGGTTCTTAAAAATCAGAATGATAAAAATCACTTAGCATTCAATCAGATCATAAGACCACTGGTATACAAATTAAAACTTTTCAAATGGACAAGTTGCTACCACAGTACTCAATCAAACTCTGCTAGTAAAAAATGTAAACAACTTACCAGCGATATATCCTCATCTGGATGGATCAACTTACTGGTTGCACTGGTCGTTGTAAGTGTAGCAGGCTTACTTGTTATTGAAGCTGCTGGTTTAGCTGCAGTGCTATTTGTTGTACTAGTGGTTGAAGCTGTAGACTGTGTATATGCAGGGAATGTAGGCTTTGGGGGTTCTGTAGTTGTTGCAGGGGTACTATTTAAGGGCTTGAAATCTGTACCAACAGGTCCTTGGACAGCTGCCTGAGCCTGTAAAACATTATCTTTCATCAACAAAACTTCAAATCCCCAAACTGAATACATCTACTACCTATTTAACTTAAAAACAAGACACTAACATTCAATAAGGGACAAAACTGAAAACCAAGTTAAAATCATGAACAATCCACAAAATTCAAGGTAACACATAATACCAAAAGATGCACATCCAAAACACAGCAGTGGAAACAAGAAACAAGTTAGACTGCTTATGTAACTTCTCAGATATCATCTATCTCCTCACCAGAAATTACTTAATTTACAAAGCTTTGTATTTATTCCTAATTGAAGATATTATCATGTAATGGAATAGCATATTTTCTATTATCATCATTCTAAATTCCTTTTAAAAATTTATCTACCAAGGAGCTCAAAAAAAAAAAGTTAGAAATTATAGAATACAAATGTTTGGATAAATTTCAGTTACTAAGTATAGCATAAATAATAACTACCAACGGTGACACATTAAAGATATGTCCTTCAGAAGTATTCTTTATATAGTAATACAATGCCCTCCCAATTAACAATGGCTAGATTATTATGATGGACTAAAGGGTTTAGTAAGCTTTTAAGTATAAGGTTACCAAGTAATAAATGTTACTTTTCATAACACTGAACATCTGAAACATGTAAACTAGGCCAACTTTCAGAACCAAATGCAGAGTACTAAATTTCCTTACATTATATGTGATGCATTAAACAGCATAAAACAGAATAGCTTAATCATGCATCTGGCTAACCATTGGCCACTAAAATGCATTTACTGCTTACATGCTTTTAACCCTTTAGAACCATAGGAGTTTGGGGTGTATCTTTTTCTATTAGTATGCGGTTCAAATTTTCAAATAGCATTGATTTTATAAGCCATTAATTTTACTTAAAAAAAATTAAACGTATTTTTTGGGAAAAGATTTAGTTTCAAAGTAGGGTCCAAAGGGTTAATGAAGTTATAAAGCCATTTTTAACAATTTTAAACTGCAACTTCCTGCGTACTTGTGCTGCGCTAGGAAACAGAGCTTTAGAAGACGCAGACAGACTTTCTGAATTGGATGAAGCTGTACTTGAGCTTGTTACAGGTGTCCCCATCTGTAGCATAAAAGAAAGGAAACAATGAAAAGTCTCCAAACAAATGGGTGAAAATAAGCCACGTGGTAGACTTTTTTTTCAGTATAGATTGCATTTTTCTAAATGCAGAATACAATGCAATCAAATCTGTTTTATAGAGGCAGGCAGTTAATGCATTTACAATAAACAGAGTGACACTATGAGCCTCAAAAAAACTTTTTAAATTCTACACCAATAAACCTAATTAACCACAGGTTTTTTCCCCTAAAACTAACGTTTTACACTTTTCCAAAACTGAAACCTTAAACTGAGAATTATGACGCATTACTGACACTTCAATTCTCCATCGATAACTACATCTTTTGCCAAAAGTTTATTAACAGGATAAACAAAACAAACAATAAACAAAATCCCCACCTCAAAAACATATTAATGTACTTAAAAAGTAATGCTTTTAATTTAGCAACTACAAACAGAAAAAAAATTGAAAAAAGAAAACATCTAAGGGATAATTTTAAGGTGAACAATGAAGAACATACATCCTGAGCGTCTCAATTCTGAATGAATTAAATACATCTGCTTAACTCTGAATCCAACTGGGGGGAAAAAGCAAAGGTAACAACCATTATATACATACTATATATAAAAGAAGGATTTTTTGCTTCTGAGTTCTGGGGAGGAAAAAAAAAAAAGGACGAGTAGGAAATATGAGTGTGACTAGGTCAAAAGACATTAAATGATGCCCTTCCAGCAACAGTGAGGCACTACTGTCTGTCACAATTCTAGACTAAAGGAAGAGCCCAAAAATTATTTGCTAAGGTCTTACGATTTTTTGACTTTGGTTTTCATTCTACTCATAGCTCATTAGGTAAAGGAGGACCTCATAACATTTTTATGTATTTAAGTTCCCAGAAATTAAATTTTCATTTCTAACTAAAGCTAAGAATAACCAGAGTTCACAACTACAAAAAAATAACACACTACACTAGTTTCTGGTTCCGGTCAACCTTTTATGAGTAAAGGAAATCAATGTGTGCAAAAACGGAAGAGAACACCACTTCTTCAGTATAGTTAATAAATTGTATTAAGAAAATTACAATTTTTAAAATGACTTGACATTTTCAAGGAGTTCAGTGAACAACTCCACTTTACCTTTAAATATAAGCACGCTCTTTTTCAGAAATTTCACCTTACCTGTCCTGCACTGGGGAAAAGAGGCTTAGTAACTGGAGGCTGTGGAGCTGGAACTGTTGCTGTTGGTGCAGGTGGTCTGTTAAGAATACCTGGCGCTGAAACAGCCTGTGCCTGAGTCATTGGAGGAATTCCAGGACGTGGAACAGGAGGGGGCATACCTGCAGAGAAGAAATACTGGAGTGGGACCCAGTTGCTGAAACATATAGTTCAGAAAAAATACTTCCTCAAAACTTTGCCACTAAAACATACTAAATTAAATTAAAAATGATTCTAGGAAATTCCCTGGCAGTCCAGTGGTTAGGACTCGGCTTTCACTGCTATGGCCCGGGATCAATCCCCGGTAAGGGAACCAAGATCTCATAAGCCGTGCAGCACAGACACACACAAAACAAGATTCTATACTACGAAGTTATCAATACTGACGACTGACTGCTGAACTCAATGAAGCCCCAAAGTACTTGGGCACTTGCCCCCTTGGAACAGTTTTGCCTCCAACTTTCTACACCTTTGCGTCTCTTCAGAATTTTGGGACATGAGAGATACCACTAGAAACCCTGTATATGGGCAAAGCCAACAATTAGGCTTATTGATATTACTGATGCAGCAAATTTTTGAAACATATAGAATTATTTCAATCATCTGACAGATGTTTCCAGAACTCTAATGCAAACTACAGTAAAAACTGTTAATAGGTCAAATACCCATAAAAATTATTCCAGAAACTAAATTATTCCTTTAAGTGTGCTTTAAATACACAAATTTTCCTAAAATATACACTAGGCATTCTTTGAAGTTCCTCAATGTAACTTAAAACTTTTACTGACTTCACATTACCAAATGAACACAGGTTATTTTTCTGTATTCATTTAAATGCCTAAAATTATCTCACAGCACGATGTATGTGAAGCTGTTGCCTATAAATTAATGATTGCACTGGCATGATTCAAATTTTGCTGCTGCTTTATTTTTGTTCCTTTTACACCAACTATCACTTGAGTACATCTGAATCTGCTATAGACTGCAAACCAAACTTGCTAGGATTAAAACGCTAGGCAATGGACTCAGAAAGCCTCATGAAGACCTCTGTGGCACATTTACTGGGCTAACCAAATCCCTTTCCCCACACTGTAGGCTAAAAAATCAAGATACTTTATTTCCCATGCTTCCCTGCACCTAGAAGCTCCATTAGACCCATTTCTGGCCAATGATATGTAAGAGGCTAAGGAGATTCTGGGAAAGTTACTTTGTTCCCTAATACAAGAAAAAGGAAAGCACCCTTTCTTGCCTGAGATCTTATAACTACTGAGTTACATGTCTGAGAGAGAAAGCTAAGGTTGGCAAAGTGGAAAATTTTTGAAGTATGGGTTCTTGTTATCACTGGAGCCACTGAGCCTACCACTTTTAGGTTGAGTGAGATAATAAATACCTACGTTGTTTAACAGTTTGTTGGATTTCTCTATTACTTGTTAAAAGTCTCCAGTACTTGCCTAAAATATTCCTAACAGATATAACCACTCTTAAGTCACAGGCTCAGTGACCCATTCTGGTGGCTTTGAGGACTACTTTTACTATCTATTTCAAAACTCGGAACTCAGAACAAAACGAGATCACATTTCTCCCAGTAATTTTCGTAAGAAGTCACTAACCTATAGAAACTTTAAAATTACACCAATTTTAAAACTGCACCTCGCAGTGGTTGAGAGTCCACCTGCCGATGCAGGGGACACAGGTTCGTGTGCTGGTCTGGGAAGATCCCACATGCCGCGGAGCGGTGGGGCCCGTGAGCCATGGCCGCTGAGCCTGCACGTCCGGAGCCTGTGCTCCACAACAGGAGAGGCCACAACAGTGAGAGGCCCACGTACCGCAAAAAAAAAAAAAAAAAAACCAAAAACTGCACCAATGCCCACAGATCTGCTGTCTAAAATATTTAAGAATAAATCACTTCTGTCATATTAAAAAGGAAACTGTCTAACATTTCATACCTGGTGGCATACCAGGCATCAGAGGTGGTATTCCCGGTCCAGGTGGCATCATTCCACCCATTGGCATCATTCTATTAGAAAGCAAATTTCAAGAGACAACTAAAGTTAATTAACAGTATAAAACATTAGAAAATATTTTGGCTAAAGCCTGAAACAACAGATAAGACTTGAATTTGACCCCTAATATTGAAATCAATCAAGCTGAAAGAACACACAACACACTAAAACAATTCTATCAAAACAAATTCCCTAAAAACCAGCAAACTCTTTGGTTTACCAGTAAAATCGGGGAAAAAATTCAGTCTTTGTTAACAGAACATTTAATACATTTAAAGTCATTGAGAACAATTATTACACTCTCCTTAATATAAGCAAGAGGCCTTATCCAAAATGTGCGTAACCGGAAAACAAAATCACCTTTTGTCTCACTTGGAAAATATCCACAGAATATTAATCAAAAAAAAAAAAAAAACTCTATATTTTAGAGTTATCAGATTTTTTCAAAAAGAAAATACTGAATGTACTTTGTGGAGTAAAGATTTATTTTGGACAGGCACGGAAAAACTACCATCAAAATTAAAGATAATCAAAAGTAAACTCAGAATCCCTACTTTTCATGTACAAAGTTGCTAACACTAAACCAGGACTTAAAAACACAACCCATATTTGTTTTCCTTCCCTTAAAAGAGCTCACCTTCAAATATCAGTGTCCAATTCACTTAAAAAATTACAAGTTTGTGAATTAATGATTTAGGATTCTTATCAGAATAACTTCTAGATATAGATTTTATTAGAAGAAAAATCAATTACCTTCTACAGTAACACAGCACGTAATTTAGCAAAGGAATATATAGTCTTTCTTAAACATCACCCCTTTTTACTAAGTCCCCTTACTTTTAGCAGTTTGGGGAAAACAGCTGCACAATTAGAAAATGCTTTGTTTATGAGTCTATTACGATTTCCTCACAGATGTTTTAGTTCCCTCCTTTAAGAGATCTGTGTCAATCAGTTTGCAAAGTTTAGAAGTTTTAGTGAGGAAGATTAGAAAACTTCTGAAGTCAACTTAATAGATACCATTAAACACACAAAAAAAATGACATTATGATTATACCTCCTGAATTACATTACGAATGAGATGCTTACATGTTTTCACCGCAAAATGACTGGGTATATTTTCTCTGATGATGCAATCTGTGAAAATGTATGACAAAATCAAAATCTAACTGATTTTCAAAATACAGTGGGAAAGTGTATTGTATACCTCTCACATCCAACAATATTTAAATAAAAGTGATGGGCACGAGCACCTCATATTCATTTTAGTTCTTGATGACTTGACAAATAAATCATTTACAGAGTTTGCTTCTTCTCACAACTATAAAGTGTCATGGACAGTTTTGAATCTCAGAAACTCAAATCTACAACCAACTACTTTAATTACATCAGATGCAACTGAAGCAGATGGCTGCCTACATACATCCTAAAACCCAAAAATCTATTCTCTTCAGAGTCAAATTTATATTCCTTAAATTATTAGTAGATCCCTTTATTAGGTAAGTTTAAAAGTTACAGAGCCCATACCTTTTAGAAGCAAAAAGAAAAATAAAAAAAAACAGCAAAGTAACATTTAAGTGATGTAACACACCCAAGTTGAGATCACTCTAGGCACAAGCCCACAAGTCAATTAAGAGTTTTCTTACCCAGGTGGCATTCCTGGAGGGGGTGTACCTGTTGGCATACCAGCCATCAGAGGTGGTATTCCCAGTCCAGGTGGCATCATTCCACCCATTGGCATCATTCCAGGTGGCATTCCTGGTGCTCCTGGAACTGGTGGTAGTCCTGGTTGTGCCATTGGGGGGATATAACCTTGTTGAGGTTGAACAGGCTGTGGCTGAAATGAAGTTGAAGCTGCAGAGTCATCATCGTCATATTCATCAGAATCCTCTTGTTGCTTCTTTTTTTGACTCTCTGCTAAAAAAGTTTAAATTAATTTTTCCCATAGAGTAAAAAAAGAAAACCTACGCAAGTTTAAGACATTCAACATTTAAAAATTTTATTTCAGTGCAAGTAGCTCCTGAGATTTTTCTTCCAAAAAAACTCAGTTAACACTGCTCTTTACTCTTTAATGTTTTTTCAATCTGTATTAAGCAAGAAGGTTAACATCCTTTCCCTATTCTATGGCAAGTAAAGAACATTTTCCTAAAGCAGTTATACTTTTAAAAAACAGCTTTCTATTCCACTCCAAAAGGTAAACTATGAAAACTAGTCTGACCTCTCCAGAATGCTTTTCAAAAGACTTCATAGTTTACTAGTAAGTTTCTATCATTTGGATAGGAGAGGGCTGCAAATCCCAAGTCAAATACACCACTAAAAGAATTTACAATTAGTGGTTTCATAAATCAAAACAAGCTACCTTCCTCCTCAAAGGCCTCAACACTTGCTAATCCACCTGGAATTCAGTTATGAGTAAAAATATAATAAAATGTAGGGAATGATCCAAATGCTACCACATATACAAATAAAATACATTAACTTTGAACGTAAGACCAAAAAAAACCCCCAAAAAACCTCAAACTGAAATTCTGAATAGACCTAACATCTACCATTAAATTCATACTTGAAAATATTGTAATAATACTCTCACTAGTTAAGCTGTATCAAGAAAAAGCATACATCTTAGCATTTACCTTGTGTTTTCTGTTCAAGAAGTCGTCTTCTTTCATCCATGTCTTTTTCTGGAATACCTTCCATACCATATATTTCCAACTCTATGTCTGTTCTCCCAGGTATTGCATTTGGTACTGCATCTATTGTCTCTTTATGCACCTAACATTAAAAAACAAACCAAAAAGACCCCACACCAACAAAACAAAAACCTTCCATTAGATAGACAAAAGTGCCTCATGAAAGTCTTTTAAAGAGTAATTTTAAATTACTCAAGAGACCACTTAGTATAATGGTTAAGAATGACTGGTTCCATAGTGAAAGTATGTGGATTCAACCCCCAGCTTTATGGCCTATTAGCTATGTGAGATTAGGCAAATTCTTCGACCTAAGCCTCAGTTTACTTCACCTATTCAGCACCTAACTTCTGAGGTCATTTTTAGGATTAAAAAAGACGCTATGTAAAAAGCACTTGGCAATGTGAAGCACATAGCAAGGGCTCAATAAACAATTTCAAGTTTACCTTATAACCTTGATTGCCTGAATTATTAACAATGAACTAACAGTGCTACTCAAATCAGGGAAGTGTGAAGTCTGAACTAAGTAAAGCTTATGAAGTCTTAAAATTAAGTATCAGAATAAAGTAACTTTTCCAAGAATGTATCCTGAGACAGCTAGTAGCTACAAACCACGAAAGTGACATTTCCAATTAGCATTACCCGTAACTAATGAGTCACCTGAAGAGCTTAATTAACACTGCCACAGTAGTGATCCTGTCACTTTCCACCTCTCAATTTATTTGGCAGATCACAAAAAGAAGTCCTTCAGAGGTTTTATTGTAAAATAAAACACTGGGGATCTAGCACCTTTTTTCACTGTATGGTTTTGCTAGATCAAACATTTCTAACCCTCAAACGCGAATAACTTTTGCCAATATGCTAAAATCCCTGTCGGTCTAGGTTTCTTCCGCAAAAGGTATTAACTTAGGCTACAGGATGGCAAAGTAGTTTGCCTAAAATATCAGCTTCACTTGGAAGCTTATTAGAAATGCAAATTCTACGCCAATAAAAATTTTTTAAAAATAAATAAGAAATGCAAATTACCAGGCCACACCTGAGCCCTACTGAAGCAGAAACTCTTGGGTGGAACTGCAAATCTACCTAACAAGACTTCAAGGTGATTCTTTTGCATACTCAAGTTTGAGAACCACTTATTTAGGTTAATGACTTGGATATATTGGTCCAAGTAATACTCAATTTTTCTTTCCTTCCAAGACACTTTCATGGAAGAATAGAAAGGTAATTAAAGAAAACTAAGTATTTTCCTGGAGGAGTATCTCAAAGATTTAAAAAAGTGATATGCAAATCAAATTCACAAATTATCTTATTGTGATTAAAAGATCCATGAATAAAGCTACTCAATAAATGACAATCACCATTTCCTACATTTTTTGGAACATGTTACTTCTCTTGATGAAGGCAGATGAAGTAACTCATATATACGTTCTCTGAAAAAATACAATTACATTCACATACACATTAACTAGTTTTCACTACATTTCTAAGTGATGAAGGAAAGAAATATCTTAATTAAAAGGTATTGGAAAGAGAAGAAAAAATAACGCCATTCACTCAAAATCTTCCCAACCTTATGTTACAGCCAGAATTAGATTTCTTAGTCTTACATAGTAGAAATTAGTATGGTCTCAGCTGAAAAGATATGTGCAAACACTGACGTAAAATATCTAAATTACTAATGTCCTAAACTAATCTATAAAATTCCAGCATGTGTCTGATTTAACTGCCATGCCTATCTCACAAGCTCCTGTGAAATTATGGTAAGAACATATAAACAGAAGCACTTAGTCAATTAAAGATTATTACTAATAGTTTCTTAACTAATCTTCCAGCTTCCACTCCGTTTCTCTGCTCTTCTCTATAGTACAACTCCCTGAAATAGCACCTCTACTTTCCTCTCATTTTCTCTTGCAAGCATTCCTATCAGCCTTTCATCCTCTTCATTCTAGGAAATCACTCTTGGCAAGTAACCAATGACCTCTACTTTGATTAATCCAATCTTAGTCCTGTGCTTAACTAACCTACCACCAACGTTTGACTTAAATAAATAACTCACTCCTTGAAACACTTCATTTGGCTTCCACAGCACTACTCTCTTGGTTTTCCTACCTTTTCAATCTTGATTGGTTTCTTTTAATCTTCTGACCTCTAAATGCTGGGAGTGGCCCAAGGTGGTGTCGTTGGCACCACTTTTCTATCTATATTCTACTCCCTAAAGACATATAATATCATGGCTTAAAATAGCCATCCTTATACTGTATCCCCCCAAATTTCTATCACCAGCTCCAACCTCTCTGAACTGCAGACCTGTAGATTCAACTGCTTATATGACATCTCCATCTGGGTATTCAACAGACCTCCTCAAAATCTCAAAACTAACATACCCAAACTCAAAATTAACATAAGATGATCTTGATAGCCTCACCCCTAAGCCTATTTTTCCTGCAGCTTTCCACATTTCAGTACAGTCGTCCCTTGATATCAAGGCATGACTGGTTCCAGAACCACTCTCCCTAATACCAAGGATGCTCAAGTCCCTTATATAAAATGGCGCAGTACAGTTAGCCCTCTGTATCCACGGATTCTGCACACGTGGATTCAACTTACCGAATTTCAATTGCGGTATAATACGCAGATGTGGATACCAAGGGCCAAATGAATACAGTAACTCACTTTTCACACTGCTCAGGCCAAAAACTTTCAGAACATCCTCCACTCCTCACTTTCTCATACTCCACATCTAATTCATCAGCAAATTCTCTGTCACCATCACCTCTTGCCTGGAACACTCTTGCCTGGTCTCCTAAGTGGTCTTACTGCACTCTACAGTCTACGCTCAACCCTGCAGCCAAAATGACTCTTTAAAAAGTGTGCCAAAGCATGTTTCATCTCGATTAAAACCTCCCATTTCACTATTAAAGAAAATGGCCTACAATAGCCTGCAAACCCTCCTATGTAAAGTAGCACATTGCTGTCCTTGCCCTCAATATAGGAGAATGCTCCTGACGTGAAGGTCTTTCATCTGCTGTTCCCTGGAATCTCTCCCTCACCTCCTTTCAGATCTCTGTTCAGATGTCAGTTTCTCATTCAGGCCTGTACTACCTTGTGGCCCTCCCCTATCCCCCCTACCTAGTTTTAGTTTTCTCTGTCACATATCAGCATAAAATTAAATATTTATAGGCTGTTCTCCTCCACAATGTAAATCTAAACTCCACAATGATGACTTTGATTTATTCACTGTTGTATATTCAGTGCCTAAAACATTGTACAGTACTGTCTCACAGAAACTGTGATAAATGGTAATGTTCTGCATCTGTACTATCCAATACAATAGTCATCCACCAGTCACTTGTGGCTGAGCACAGGAAATGTGACTATAAGGTGACTGAGGAATTGAAGTTTTAATTTGTAAATTTCTGTTTAAATAGCCACAAGTAACTAGTGACTATCACAGTGGAAAATTGTGGGTCTCATATTTTTAAATGGATACTGAACTGCTATTATAGCGACATAATTGGAGTGAAACAGATCTTTATAAACTTATTTTTAAACTCAGGGAAGCAATATCTTGTTTTAATTTACCTCCCTGCCTCCTACCAACAGTAGTTTCCAATAAATGGGGATCTGCTCATCTCACATCTCTCTAGGGTCCAATTAGGCAAAAATTCAGGTAGCTCTAGGACTGGCAAAAGTAGAAGAAATAATGTTGAATAAAAAAGGTACTTATTAGATCTTCAAAAATATAAATTACAAAGCCCTCCCCACCTAGTGAAAGAACTCAAGAAACCTAGAAATTATTAAATGAAACACCATGCCACCATTCCAAAAGAGGTCCATGGAATAAATGGTAGCTTAGCCCCAGGCAACAGATTATAACAAATCGTTAAAGACAGTGAGTAATGGTGGTTAATTATGTACTAATTCTTATGGGATTGGATTTGGTCAGAGTGCCCACAAAATTTAAATCACTGATCCTTGTTCTCTTAGCCAAGTACTGACGAAATACTTCGTGATCTCAACCTAATTGTCACCCATCTAAATCTAGGATAAAAGATATTATCAATAATTTAAAGGTAAATAGTAGCATAAACTCTTTAAACATGAAAAATCAACTGTTTATCTTCTCAATGGCTAAAGAACAGGGTTTTTTTTATTTTAAAGCTGACTGGTCATCTTATCTAATCTTTTGCAATAAACAACAACAACAAAAACTCTACCGCTATCAAAGAGAAATTCAAGATTTTTTCATGCTGTTTCCAAACTACAAGAGAGCAAAAATTAAATACAGAAGAAACTCCTTACCTGCATGCAATGAATAGCTAAGCCAGGTCCTGTATACAATTTCTTATGACATATGTGACATTTAAAATGCTTTGCTTTTTGGTGCTGTATAAGGATCTTCTCATCATCAAAATCTCTATTACAATACCTGATCACTATAGTTAAGGTACAAAAATAGCACAATAGTGACACTGCCTATAAAAAATAAATCTGTAATGAAAGAGAATAGTAGTAACATTAAAAACAGGCAACAGCTAAAACCAAGAGTACTTTATATAAACTCTACTTTTGATATTTATTATATAACTAAGGATTAACCTCCCACATAATTTTGGAGTTTTCAATGTCCTGGAAGCTCACAATATCTCTTCACCACCCCTAAATAAACACATCTCAGTAGACAGTATACTTTTGTCAAATTCCCGCGTTTCACACAGATTTATGTGTGAAACTTTTCTTTTGTTCAATGTCTCAACATTTACAAATGCACACTGTGAACTGGAAGGGTTCAAAAAGTTTAAAAAGAAAAAAAACCCCAAAGTTAATGTGAACAGAACTTCAAAAATTAGAAGATAAAAATAATCGAAATACTAAGAATTTACCTAACATTTAAAATTTAATGTTTATATTATTTAGAATCTGAAAATAAGTTCATTGCGACAATTTTCTATGAACAATCCACAAAGTTGCTTGCAATTCCGTACGAATTTGTCGCCCAAAAATGTATTTAAACTCACAGATAAGTTCTGTCAATAATACTGAGAATTCTTCTCTCCCTTGTCAGATTTTCCAAAAAGCACTTTACAAAATCTGTACACCGGTTTTCAACTATTATATAAATACATGCAGCGTTTTTAGGTACCAGACAGTAAATAAAATCAACTGAAACGTAAAGTTTACTAACGTTTCCGGGGGGGGGTGGGAGGCGGAAGCTAGATCTTACCCCAACCCCCAGCAAAAAAAAAAAAAAAAAAAAAAAAAAAAAGGGGGGGGGGGGGGGGGGGCGTCGAAATCAGGGTTGACTAACATAAGCCTTTACTAAACCACCGATTCTACAAAAAAAAAAAAAAAAAGAAAAAAGAAAAGAGTGGGTGACCGACTCCGGAAGCTCCCCCCTGATCCGCCACAGAGTCAATAAGCGTACTATACTCGAAGCAAGTCCCTTTGTTGAACCGACACCTAAACAACGGAGTGTGGCAGAAGACTCCTCAGGGGACTCTGTCCTTGGTGAAGGGGGTCCAAGCCGCCTCCCCGTGGGTCAACGCTCGCACCAAACCGAGACCCTCCTGAGTCACGGAGTCCCACGACCCACAACTGGCAGAGCTTCTCGCCCCAGGGACCCCATTTTCCGAGAAACCTTCCCAAATCCGAGCCCAGCCACCAAACCACCGACCCCGAGGCCTACATCCCACTCTCCGCCATAGGCCAAAGCCAGGCCTCCCCGTCCCGGTCACCACCAACCGGCGCCCCCGCTCGGCCTCGACTTCAAACCGACAAAGGATACCAGCACCACGGCTTCAGCTGCTTCTTCTTCTTGCGACCCATAACTGCGCTCTACCGCCAGAAAAAAAAGGAGGAGAAAACAAGGAGGAAAAACTAGCCGAAGAGTCTCTCACTCTTCCGACCCAACCGCCACCTCCGTGTCCCACAGGCAACAGCCACAAAATGGCCGACGCCCTCGCTCGCTGCTCTGCCTCCCGTCAGGCACTGCGGCCGGGGGCGGTGCCAGGCAGGGGAGGGTCACATGACGAGGCCTACGCCCTGAGTGGGCGGACACTCGCTCCAGCGGAGGGCCGGCTGCCATCTTGTCAGTGAGTCCGGTCCGGGTTCTTCCGTGCGTGCGAATTACTCCGGGTTTACTTTGTTTATAAAAGAACCGGTGATACGTAGGTGCGCCGAGACAGCGCGAATTGGAGGAAAAAAAAAAAACTCAATAGGTTACCAGAGTAATTCAAGGTAAACTACAAATAAAGGATAATTGAGACAGCGCCCAATTTTTCTTTTGTTTCATTTCCCGGATTACTCCTTTCTGTAGTAAGTGTTGGACGTTTGCCTACTAAGTCGAAGAAGTCGCAGTCTTTGCCTTGTAATTCACAGATCGGTGACGGATGCGTAAACGACGCAGCGTGACCACCGCGGTGACGGAAATTCGAGGTGCTGCAGAACCTCAGTGGAGAGGAACCGTTTACAGGGCCTTGGCGGTCATTGGGGTATCGAGGAAGGTTTCCTGCAGGGTCAATGGGAGCAAACGAGGTGAAGGAGAGGGTATCTCACTAAGGGCGCAAAAAGTGCACGTCTTTGATCCTGAGCACCTGAAAAAACACTAGAGATAGTAGGGTCGGAGCTCGTAGTGAAGGGACTGATGGCAAGAGATAATCCTAGGGAGGCTGGCAAAGGCGACTTCCGGAGATTCTCCAGCAGCCTGAGGAGCTGGATTTTATGCTGAAGTCTCTGGGAAGCAGCAGAAGAGTTTTAAGAGCGCAGTTAGAGAAAAACGCAAATAAGTATAGCTGGTTAAGAGTCCAGTGCTTCGGTTCATTTTCCACTGCCTATTTGCATGGCTTTGGGCAAGCCACTTAAACTTCCTCTGTCTGCACTTATAACAGAGTTTGGCATAGAGAAATAACCGGTAATGTAAATTAGATGTTACTATTAAAAGGGAAAAGTAATAGTAGATATCCATGGAGCGCTTATCGTGCGCCAGACAAGGTGGTAAATTTTACATGTCTCAACAAACCTGTGATGGAGGTGCCTTTGTTATCACCCGGTTAACATAGATGAAGAAAAAGAGGCTTAGGGGAGTTGAAGCAGGGAATTCCCTGGTGGTCCAGTGGTTAGGACTCCTCACGTGCACTGCCGAGGCTCGACCCCTGATCAGGGAACTAAGACCCCACAAGTTGCGGGGGGAGCAGCCAAAAAAAGGGGGGGTGGGCGGGGAGTTGAAGTAATTGACAAAGTCACAGAGTTAGTAAATATGAAGCTGAATTAGATTTGAGTTTTAGAAAAACTCCTTTTGCCTACAGTGGGAATAGTGGATTGGGGAGGCTGAAAGGCAAGTCATAGAGAATGTGACAGTAATCTGGATAAGAGATGAAATTGGTCTGAAGTAGGGAGTGGTTATATATAGAAAAGCATTTATTCATTCTTCCTAAAATAAAAAATAAGATAATTTTAGATGGTGCCCAGTGCTCTACCAAAAACAAAAATGAAGAAAGAAGGTGATGGAACAATATAAGGATGTCCACTCTTGCCACTCTTATTCAACATTGTACTGCAGGTCCAGCCAGGGTGATTAGGCAAGAAAAAGAAGTAAAAGGAATCCAGATTGGAATGGAACAAGTAAAACCATTTCTATTCAGAGATGGCATGAGTGTGTGAATAAAAGAAAAAGCCCGTAAAGAAAAAGTAATGTGTTGAAATCCTACCCCCCAGTACCTCATAATGTGACCTTATTTGGAAATAGAGTCTTTACAGAGGTAATAATGCTAAGGTGAGGTCATTGGGGTGGACACTGGTGACTGGTGTCCTTGCAAAAAGAGGAAATTTGGTTGCAGAGATAGGTATAGAAGAAAACACTATAAAGAGATAGGAAGGAGACCACTATAAATCAAGGAGAAAAACCTGAAACAGACTTTTCCCCATAGCCCTCAGAAGGAACCAACCCTGTTTTCACCTTGACTTTGGACTTCTAACCTCTAGAACTGTGGGACAATAAATTTTGTTGTTTAGGGTGCAGTGGTTAGTATTCAGCACTTTCACTGCTGGGACCCCAAGGTTCAGTCCTGCAAGCCGTACAGCCAAAAAAAAAATTGTGTGTGTGTGTGTGTGTTTAAACCACTCAGTCTGTGGTACTTTGTTAATGGGAACCCTGGAAAACTAATACACTTGTTTATAGAAAATTCTAAGGAATACATTTTTTAAAAATCTAGAGCTAATAAGAGTTCAACAAAGTTCACAGTACAAGATCAATATGCAAAAATCAGTTGTATTTCTTTTTTTTTTTTTTTTTTTGGGGG